GCGTTTGGCACAGCGAATGCCAACCACTATGTTTGTTTTGGTTTGGTTTGGCATGAAATCTCTAAGAGAGAACGCCGTTGCAGGCAACAAACATTTGGCGCGCAGGAAAGGACTTGGTAGCAGCGACCTTCTTTTGAATCTAACACGCCCAATCCCTGGGATTAACAGCAAATAGATTTTGGCGGGTGATTGATAGGAAACTCAACAAAAAAAGAAACTGGTCAGTTATTGTAACATGTGGTTGCTGCAAACTCGCGTTTCAACTTCTGGAATGTAGAATCGCCACATCGCCAGTGAGATTTGGAACCACAAAATGCTCAGAAGTCATCGATTTGAGAATCTCGATGTCGAGCCTGGCCAGTGCATTCTTGCTTTGAACCATCCACCAGTTGGCTGGAGCGCAGGAGTGAAAGAAACTCGAATCCGGAAGGGCAAAAGCATGAACAGTTTTCTCTACAACATGATTTGCAACTGTAGGACCACCCAATCAGTCTTCACCCACAAACCTTTCAGCACACCATTCATTGCCTCATAGCAGCAAAATAGCCTCATACGTCGTGAGCTGGGTACCTAGAACGCCATTCATGAAGCTTGTCTGTCTTCTAAAGAAGGGCACTGCTTGCGCTTCACGCCGGACTACCAGTGACTACCAGTGATACCAAGGCCACATGCGCACAACAACCCTTTTCAGCCGCGCAGTCACCTTCGCGTCGTGGTGAGCGGAGAACGCGAGAAACATTATTTCACAGGCACAGGAGGGTCCACACTCTTCGGCGCCTCCTCTTCGCCGCCTTCCGCTCCTTCCTCTACAGGTTCCTCTTCCGCTCCTTCCCCTACAGGTTCCTCCTCCTGTGGTTCACTCTGTTTCTGTGATTCTTCAGCCGTATTGGCCAAGATCTTACTCAGGACCGCTTGCTTCATCTCAGACTTAGAGCACGCAGTCAGGCGCATGCATTCTAAAACCAAATGAGTCAAAAAAAGAGAACGGAAAGATTGCATTCAGCGGTTAAATTTCAAAAGGCGTGTTTACGCTAAGTTGCCACCATGGTCTTCACTTTCTGGAGCGAGGTGCCCTTTTTCAACTCATCGTATGCTACATCCTTGATGAAAAGAACACTCTAAGGCCAACCAAGAAAGTTCGCTGCCAGTTCAATTTCAGATTCAGAGCACATGCTAAAGTGACTCCAGGGAACAATGATCTCTTTTGACTTCTCCATGGGAATCTTCACGCTACCTACCTCAGATCCGTGATTATGACAGTCCTGGGAACTGGAACCAGGAAACCATAAACAAAGTTGCTGAACTGCACTGTGTCTCATCGTTTTGCAAGCAGGAAACACTGACAATTTCCTTCTTCCCTCTCTTGATGCCCCAGCGGTTCGACTTTGTATAGGGGGTCGGCTTGTACAGCGTACCGCTCGTCTCTTGGTCTTCAGGTCTCTCTCCTTTTTCGTTTTCGTTTTCGTTTGGTGGTTTTGTCTCACTCTTCCCAGGTGTGGTAGCTGCTGGAGCTGCAGCAGGCTTCTTTCGAGGTAGCACCTTGGCAACACCCTCGGCCTTGGCCTTGGCCTGGCTCTTGGGCACGGGAACCTCCGATGGTTCTTCTGCGCTGGGTTTCGGATCTCGTTTTGATCGTTTTGCATCCGAATCAGCTTCTGTCTGGTCCTGGTCAATTCCATTGCCTGCGCCGGTCACACACACATTACAAACTAGAATCAGCCTGTGGTTGAATGGAAATCCAACTACAATCAACTTTACACGCCTCGAAGACAAGCTGATGGCCGCTTTCTCAAAGCGGGCTTGCGATGCACAGTGTCTTGTGGCTCCTGGGGGTCCTGCAGCAAACCACTGTGCGTCAACAACCAACATACTATTCAGCAACACAACACACATCTCATGACGTCGCACCACATGTCCAATGATTTACAACGAAGCGGCCCGCGTCCTCCGTACCCGAGCTTGCAGTTAAATCAGCTTCACCAACAACACTGAGAACAGGCATGGCTTGGCAACAGTTTAAACCCTGACTGGCTACCTTTGCTTGCAAACCTTTGCAAAGCCGGCCCATTCGCTGTCAAGCAGGTTATCACAACTAAGCACAACCGTGTATGTTTGAGCATCCACATCACAATTCAATATTTTTGAACTGCCGGCCACTTGTGTTGTAAGTTGTCGCTATTGGCAGCCGATGCTGCTTTGGAGATGTCACAGCCTCTATCCTCACATACCAAAATCGAAGTGACAAAATTCACTTGTTCAAAAAACAACACGGTGATTTAACCATCAAAGGCCCTGCCACTTCGCGCTCAAGTGCGAGGAATGAAGCACGGTTCACACAGTGGCCGCGGCTGTTAAGTCAACGCACGATACAGCTGGAACCTTCAGAGTGGCCAGCAAATAAAACTTTGGCTTCAGTGGCATAACCTTTGGCGGACTTGACATGGATTGGACCTGAGAAAGCCAAAAGCTTTACGGAGAATTCCCACAAAAAACTGTTCAGCACTCACAGAACACCGTCACCCAGCAGTCAGAACATTCATTGAGCGTGGCACCTCCCACATGACAGAAGCCACAGGATTTCTGGGGACCTTCTGAAAGTTGTTCGCGAACAATCCACCGAACGTGGCCTTCTTGACCTCCGCCCCGTCTCCCAAGGCGTTGGGCTTGAAAATGCAAGTCTTCTGAGACGTCAGCGAAGAAAGCTCCCACCTGTCCAGAACGATTGCTTTTCGAAGAACGCACGCATAAACAAGCAGGGGGCATCTCATCAAAGCAGAACGGTAGTCTCTAAGCTCTTGCCTGAAATTGACTGGCAAGGCCTCCGAATCAGCCTCAATGCAAACACCATTTAACAGTGATCAGGCAAGCATATCGCTTTAAGTGTTGTCAAAAAACGGATGGAGCAGGGTGCATCTTCGGCGTCATCGCGTGGTACTCCACATTCATGTCTGCAAGGCCATTCTCCACAGTCAACTTCCGAAGAAGCTCGCGCAATGCCATTGGCTCTTTCTCAAAAACCACGAGGGCTCGGTCTGAACTCAACCTCCAGGCAAGTCCATTTGTCTCCTCTGCTTCACCTGAGATTGCGATGGCAAGGGGACACTTCGAAAGAATATATCACCGGTGAATACTGGTGACAGACCCAAAACCATGCAAACTGGAGGCAAACATCAAGGGAAAACAAATTGAATCCTGAACTGGTCGAAGCACGTGTAACCACTTGCGTGTTGTAGGACCCCGTCCCAAAGCCAAACAATTCTCCAGCCGTGACCTCCATCTCCTCATTGCTGCTGTTGACGAGCCAAAGGTGAAAGTCCTTGTCCAACGCCAGCGTCGGCTTCCCCGCCCGGCCAGGAAGCGCACCAAGCCTGGTCAATCACTGGAAAGTTCAAGCAACCTGCAAGTGTATATTAAAGAAACACATATAATAATAAGCCCGAAATTCGAAGAAGTCTCCTTGCTTTTCAAATTATACTCCAACACAGAAGGAGAAAAAATCCTTGCCCTGCAACTTGGCGAGCCTCTCTCCGGTGAAGCTTGCCACTGGGATCGCGGTGAGATTCACAGTGCGAGACGTGTCCAGGGGCTTCAAACCTTCATCGACAGTGTAATCGCAAACACCATGCGCGCGGCTGGGGGTGGTAATCCTGGCGGTAGGGTCGCCAGCTTCACCAAACTCCTCCAAAAATTGCTTTTGCAGCTGCTTGACCTCCTCTTGCTCCGGCGAATCATTCTGGAAGCGTCCAGGAGAACTGACAGTGGAAAAGTTGGTTTGCCACGCGTGAGGGCAACCAAGCTCAACCCCATAGTTTCTGCGGTAGGCGCAGCTGTGGATGTAGGGGGTCTTTCCTTCGGCGGTGAATCCGCATTGTTGTCCTCGCATGGGTACACATGGTTCAGGAACCGAATGCTCATTGCGAGATTAAAAGTCTTAAGTCTGCAAAGAAAAACTAAACTACACTGCGTACAAACAAGTCTCCCAATGATCATAGATCCGGCTCTCCAAGGTCGATCTCAGCTCGGTCAACTTGTCCTCCTTCACCAAGCCCACGTACTGCATGGCAACCTTGGAGCGCGCCGCACCATCCAGCAAATTCTCCAGGGCAGCACGCGCAAACTCTGCTAACCTCAAGTTGGAGAGGAACCCCCGGCATCCAAAACTGTACGCCAACATTGTACAAGCAGCTGCGCACATACATAGTTGATGACTGATCACTTATAAAATGTACTTACATACCCTGCCTGTTCGGGATGATGTCGAACCAAGCAACTTTGTCGGTCGGCTTCACGTCAATGCCCGTGAGAACCCCCTGCATCAATTCGCCAGCACAAGGAACTCCTCTCCTGACATGGAAGGGCCAACAAGAAGGCTTAGCTTCAGATTCAGCCTCCAGATTAGGGGTGACCAAGCAAGCAATCAACTAAAAAGCGCTAACTACAGCAAAGCTTCTGCTCTACCCGAGCGCTCGCTGAAGGTCGTGTGGTCTCATCATACCCAACCATGTCTGAGATTTTGATCAACGGATAGGGTCCCACACGGCCAGAAGTCACAGTTTCGCTCTCTTGCCAACTGGATTCCGAATAGCTTGTGTGAAGGGTAAGTACACAAACTTGGGACATAGGTCGGCCGTCCCTGCTTGTGGAGTCTGGCTTGTTGTAGAGCACTGCAACCTCCTGACCATACGACATGTTGTTTTTGATGAGGTAATCCTCAATGGTTCTGCGATGTTTGATCCTGGCGACATCCGTTGTCTGCTTTTGAAGCACTGGCAGCATGATGAACCCACAGTGACACGGGCTCATCGCTGTGACGGAGCTCAGAACCCCAAAGGCATTCTTCACGTAGTTGGCACCTGCCGGGTACAGAGTCATATCCATTGCAGCAACGCAATACCTCGGCCAAGCTAAACCAGAGATGTAAACATCTACACTCAACCGCTGGTAGACAGGGATGTTGCGGTTGAGTTTGCAAAGAAGTAGTTCGTGGCAAACATACAACTTGAAAAGAAAACAGTCTCGCAAGCTGAGGGTGAGTTCCGTTCTATGGGCTTAAAGGTGGGCAGGGGTGTTCTATTGGGAAACTGCAGAGGGCGTAGAGACACCAATGGTCTCAATGTCTAGGCGCAAAGAGCCCGCAATGCCTCGCCATTGCTCAATATATTGAAGGAACGCCGGCATGGCTGTGTTCATGTCTTCTGACACCGGGATCAGCAACACATTCTTAGCCATGAAGTCTTCTGCATACTTGCGCCCTTTCCTCAGCGCAGGTTGGGTTGCCCAAGGGGTGTTTGGGCCAAGGCAAGTTGAGATCCCACACCAAGGGCCTCTCAGTTACAAGGCCCTTTCAAAGTTTTCTGGTTTTAGTTGGCTTCAACAACGGCCACTCACTCAGAAAAAAAATTTCCCAGTGAACTGGTATGCGCAGTCAAGCAAACAGTAAAAACAACTTTTCTTGTCCGAAGATCATTTGCCGGTCCTTCAAATATTTCAAATCGAGCGCGTGCTCTGCAGCCACATGCGACTTCCCTGGCAACTTCGCCCTGAGAATCTCAATGTCCGCAGCGATCATAGCTTTCACGTGAGCTAGATTTGCTGTGGCCACCTGCTTCTCTAGCTCCTTCGCTTGGTTCTCCCTGTCCTCCACCTTGCCCTTCTCAATCTTCATGGCAAAAGGCCTGCTGAATGAGAGTCTTGGGTTTGTCACTAGCCCTTGGTGACTTTAAAGCTATGAACCAACTTTGAGTGGATTTTCAATACAGGTTCCTCATGTATTGGTCTTGCCAACACTAGTACACCCTCATGTAGCCAACAAGGAGTGTTTAAACACGCCTCATGGCGCCGACCGAAAGCAGCTCCGCATTGGCTGGCACTTGCTGGTCGACACAATGCAGTAGGTCAGCGTCCAGCAGCCCACACTTGAATTGGTTCAGTAGATCATTGCGCATGCCCTCAAACTCTTTCTCTGGAGCAATGCTCTGAAGCTTGGCCATCATAAACAGGAAGACTCCGCAAGACTGGTGCACCTTGATTGCATCCTTAAAGCTGACAGCCTTTCTCAAAGGCGCCGGCGTGTTGTCGTGATCGCCAGCCAAGCGAGCCAGGTAGAGCTTTACCTCGGCACGCTAAGATTCCAGATTCCAGGACAGGTTGACATGAAAGGATATAAAAACGAAAGGTGTCATAAGTCCTTTCAACCTCTGCTGGTTCCTTTGCCCTAATCTCGCAACCCAGAAGTGCAACAGATTCAATCAGAAAATGAAACCACCAAACTATGGTTTTGACGTGGAACAAACTAGCCTAGTGGCCAACTGCAAGTCGCCGGGGAGGTTTGTGAGTGCTTCACTCCAGCTCTCTGCTGGGCCAATGCCGCTGGAAAATCCAGTTGAGAAAGTGCCTTTCCCGATCACATCGTGATTCAAAAACCTGCTCATGCCTCGCGTTGTCACAAGCTGCTGAAGCTCGGAGCAAATTGGTTCAGGAACTGCAGTTGCTAAGGCGAACAGCGCATCACTTTCCTGCTTGCCAATCTGGAAAGCTTTTGCCATCCCTGCTGAATTCTTCCAGTCCTACAAAAACAAATAACAAACATAGTAAGTCCACCATCAGTGGGGGGATGTCTGAGCATCTTATAGAACATGCGCAAGTACTCCTTTCAACAAAACATCGATCCTTCAGCTGCGAATCTGCCGACCCCATTCCAGCGTTCTTCAGAACTCTAACCTGCCGTAGCAGGTTGAAGCAATGAGGGGCTCGGCGTGTTGCGTGGTTCGCCATTTGCGCACCTTGCCGGCGACAAAAGCTAGAATTCACCCGATATCACAAAGTCGTTCAATGGAAATTGTCCACTTTATCGCTGAATGAAGGAAACAATGATAACCGTCGCGGGCGCTACAAAAACTCGCCTCTGTTGGCCATCACTTGGCTACGAACGTCCTTGAACTGGCCAAACGATACGTGGATGGTTCCCATCGAAGCCTCAAGAACTACCGACGCACCACTGCTGAAACAAAGACCACAACATAAAATTGCGTAATTTACTGAAATCACAACCTAACTTCCACACCTGACATCGGGTTCCTTTGGGCCTTTCTTAGCGTGTCCAACAACAATCCATACACAAACCGACACCGAGTTTCCAAAGTAGCACGCAGCTAGAACGATCAATCTCCAATGGTGAGAAGCCCCTTGTTTCTCTTCGGACCTACCCCAACTATATCAGCAATCTAGCAACTCTGACGAATTGTGGCACTGCATCTGATAGCTCCAATGTTTTGATACCTTCCAACGCTATGAGAAGTACCAGGCATCGTTTGTAGCCTTTGATATAGCCGACCGAGAAGGGTCTGAGCAAATGGCCTCACTGAGCGAGCAACATACTTCCAAGGTTCCGCACTAAGAAAGAACGCTTGCACACTTATGGAGTCTGATCACATGGCAGCTGATGGGGTGGCTCAGCGACTGCGTGTACATTAAAAATAACCAAGGTGCCATAAGGTTCCAAAGGCGCACACTCATGGTAGGGTTTCTCTAAGAATTCTCGCGAAACATCAGTGGCAGCCACCTTTCCAATACCAACAGAGTTGGCGTCGGAGAGAAACCTGGGACGGGGAGCTGTGCGTTAGTTAAACACTTCAAACAACAGAGGCCAGCATGATACAGTCCAAGAACCCTTCCGTGCAAATCAACTCGATCAGGTTTGTGGCTACATCAGGCTCCACCATGGCGCTTAAGGAAAAGTCGCTCCTCCAGCCACACTGCCATGGCCTGATGACACCAGGCTTGGTCTTGTCCACGCAATATGAAAGCCTTCAGCAATGGCTGTGGGAATGGGACGACTGATTATGGTAAACACAAGTCTCAACAACAACTGGCTGTCATTGTTTGACATATATACATTCAAGGCCCTGGCGAACCATCTGCTGGGCAAAAGTCGTCTATCCACTTGGCGAAGCTCAACAGGCCAGCCTCGTGATAGTCACGCGCGCTGTGCAACCGTCACAACCAACATAGGCTTGGGTTGGCCAAGGACGGGGCCATGGGGCCCGCATTTCTTGCATCATGGCCCCGTCCTTGGCCAACCCAAGAGGAAAATTGCCAGCCAAAACATGGTTAGAACTGCGAAAAACTCACCACAAATCAATACAAGCAGGCCAATTCCGATCTGCCTCATCTGCATACTTGCTGGTCAGGTATGCTGCGGGCCCACCATTCGACAAAACCGTTTCGTCATACCTGGGAAACTGGAATGACATCGACAAACCACCAGGCTTCAATACTGCCTTCGTTACCACCATGTTCAACCAACGAGGGGCCACGCTGTCAGCTGTCGAATCCACTGAGACTTGTCAGAGTCGCCTCCATCAGGCAACTTCGCAGCCTTGGCCTTGGCATCGCTGCCACTGGCTGACTTCCTCTTCTTTGGCGCCATTCGTGAAATGCGACCGAATGCCACCCGGCGCGAGCCAAAACCCTGGACGATCAACCCTGCACTGCAAAAACAAACAAACAGAATGCAAGCTACTATCGTTGCAAGCTCCCACACTGCAGCATTAAGAACACACGACAGAAGTTGATGGAAGGCCTTGAAAAATTTGAAAGGCGTCGATAAGTACATCCACAAAAATCCGTCACAGAAGAATCCGTCACAAAAAAATCCGACACTCCGACATCCGACACTTGGAAATCCGTCACTCAACCATCTCGCAACATTACTTTTTCTGAGGTCGCTAAGAAAAGTCCAAATTAGTGTCTGATCTGAGGTGAGATCCGTCACTCCGGGATCCGACACTGAGGTTCTGAAGCTAAATCAAAAATTGACTTCTAAACAAAAAACGATGGAATCCGTCACTCCCAGCGTGTTTGCCAGAGCCATCAATCAGTGACTGATCCGAGGTGGGATCGGTCACTGAGTCCATCCTCCATGGTTTTTCCCATAACCGTAGATTTTTTCAATAGATTGAAAATGTTGGAAAACAACACCTCAGTGACCAATCCCAGGTGAGATCCGTCACTACTAGCAAACTCAAAGCCTTGCTACCACAGTGACTGCTTTCTGGGGGGGGCATCCGGTCCAGACATGCGGTCGCAAAGTGAATTGCCGCTCCCCATTTTTCTCAAACCTGAACGTTTAGGGTTTAGGGTTCCGCAAAATTAGGGTGGACGATCATAACATCTCACTCCCAAGAGCAGTGCAAAGTAATGAGTTCTCAAAACAAAAATATCAACTAGTAACCATACATAAACTAATATCAACCCTTGCCTTTCCGCTTGCCTTTACCTTTGCCTTTGCCCTTCCCCTTGTGGGGATAGGCTTTCTCTAATGCCTTTGTGGCAAGCTGCTTGGCCTCTGGCCAGGGAACGCCTTCAGCCCAAATCTTGGCTGCAGCTTGAAATATCGCTCGTTCCAAGTATGCCCGCGCGGCTTTCCGGTATTGGTCAGGAAGTCGAAGCCTTCAAGCTTGGGGAACATCGGTCGAAACAACCTACAACAACCTGCAAGTCGAAACCGCTTGGCGGAACACAGTTGCAACATTTGGCAAAGCCATTGCATACAAGAAACTCCAATCGGTTGGGCACCACTTCGAAGGTAGCGGTCCTGACATGCTAGCTACTAAACTCCTACGTACAAGTCACACAACCATCATGCCATGAAATGATCAATCGCGGCAGCTCCCATCCTGGAAAACAAGTCTGAATGATCGTGGGAGTCACCCCGGCTGCGTCGAAGCCGAATCCTTGCAATTTCAAGTGCGGTGAGCTTGGCAAAACTCACGTCACATCTCAACTCACACACAATGAACTTGGGGCGGTTGTCTTGGATATCGGTACACACTGCATGATTCAATGCCAAAGCACTCTGAGAGTTCGAGTGGAGGTTGCAAAGAGAGCGTCCCCTGCAGCCAGCTCTCTAGATAGTCTGCGGCCCTGCTCAAATTAAACTCCGGCTCCCGCATGGCAGGAAGGTACTTCATCACATGCTCTTGGTACTCTGCAGAGATTGGGTTGCGGGCAGCCATGACTGGCAAACAACATGTCTCCAAACTGCGCGTTTGGTGCTTTGCTCACTGTTTCCGGAAACAAAAATGTTATTTCCGAAATTACCCAAATCCCTTTGTTCAGCGTCCTACGTGACAAGTCCTGGCCCCCCAAGAGTTGAAACCTAAAAAACATATTCTCACCATCAAGCTGGTGTAGAGAACCCACTCATTACAAGTCCAAATCCAAAAGACGGCCTGCGGGCAGCCCCACAGGCAAGTGATGCAAAGCCCAAATGCGAGGCAAAAACAAGAACTTGCGCGAGAAGTCAGCAGAATGCATCCATTGGCTTGTCCTGAACTGGGCGTTTCGATGTCTGGAAGTCAACTGGCAATGTCAAATGAAGCTCGCGTTTGGCAAAAAATCCTCGAATGTCTATGGGTTGAACAGTGAGGTCCCAGGAGAAATCCTCAGGATCACGTCATGGGGATGCTGTTCAGCTCGCCAAAACGCATTCAGTTCTTCACCATCACGGAGGCCTGCCAGCCAGGACAACATTGAGAAAACATGATCAAATAGCAAGTTCAAGCTGTTGCCTGCGTCTACCCTCCTGCAAAAGTCCATCAGGTGCGGTGCTCCCGGGCCCCCAATTCCCTTTAAAGCCACTGGCAATGATTCGGCTAGCCATCCGCGCCTCAACCAAACAAGCAGTGCGTGACATATGGGAACACATGAGGCCTTTGCAATTTTTCCTGTAGGTTTAAGTTTAAGCCAATTAAGGAAACTTCTCAAATTCGTTCAGGTCACCAGTCACGAGTGTGGTCTAGCTTCTTGACAAATCGCACCGGTTCGTAAGGCCAGTGATGAAGTCAGACGAAGTCAATGCTACGCGGATATTGTTTCTGACATACGCTGCTAACTGCCCGAAAAGCTGGTCAATGTCTTCGTGGCTGTGTCCTGTGCGTAAGAAACTGAGTCGGCCAGATTGTATTACAGAGTCCGACACGAGGCTGCTCATGAGGCGCATCACGATGCCATTCTTGACTTCCCTGCAAGTATTGTCTGCCTGCAGGGTAACCCTGCAGGCAGACAAATCCACACCAGAGCGAGAGAGTTCATGAAGAACGTGTGCAAATATCTCACAGGATGTGTTCGAGTCTTTTGCGACGTCCGACTCAGACAGGTATATGGCAACAAAGCGTCCGTGGCAGATTACCGCTGCGAGATGTAACCGTGGGCGGTTCATGGATTCAAACAGCTTGGCACGCATGAGAGCGCTTCTTGGCACGGTAAATTTGCTCTGATCCATGCCGTCCTGGATCAACACGATCTCAAGGCCCCGGGAACGTGCCACGCCACGAGCCCGCCAGTAACAGCAACGGTCCATATACTGCGCGTGTAAATGCTTGTAGAGCAATTGCTGTTGAACTCTTCGGGCGGACAGGTGGTGGCCCAGGCCTTGTATAATTGTTTTGTGCTTAGTGCACTCCGAGCATTGCGCGTGGCTTGAAGATGCTCTGAACTTCATAAAGCTATAGTGCGAAGCCCAAACCTCAACAGGTAACGATGTTCTTTCAAGACTCTACACCGAAACGGTTCATGAAGCAGCTTGTGTTCGAGTCATTTGCAAGATCAAACCCCTGGTGAAAATATGTTGAACCATTTGTTGACTAAGACTAGCTAGTTGGTTTCTCGTCTTGCCATGGAGACTCTAAGCAGCAAAACAATACGCTGCACAACTGCACAACCAACCCAAATATAATAGGCATGTCAAGGAACTCGCCAAAAAGTTGTAAAGGATGCCACACGTGCACTTGAGGACTGGCTTTTGTATTGGATCCAGTATTCTTTGAATGTGCCGTCTGGCAGAAACTTCTCTTCACACCCGTCAGCTACCGATCTTCCTGCGCAAACCTCAACACCGCGGTGGTGTTTCTTTTGTTTGGGTTTGTGCTCTGAAGTCTTCGGAGGTTCTTTGGAAGCATCGCCGGCAAAACTCAAATCAATTGATGGGCCCTCGTCTGAGAGAATGCCATCCCAAGACTCGTCTCTGACATCGGGGAGGTTCTCCGCGATTGACTGATACACGTTTTCTAAGAAAGACATGCAACCAGCCACAACTTCAGGACAGCTGTCCCGCCCAAATGAAGGTTTCTTCTCAAACCGCAAGTCTACCGGTGGCTTCGGCTGATTGTTCCGCACTGCTGAGAGAAGCTTTGTAAATCTGCGATTTCCTGAAGCTTTGACTAAGAGCGTAGCATAAGTAGAGTTATTTCCCTATTTCTGAACAAGTTCAGCCGCAAATCACACAGAAAATTATCTAATTGTGAATCCAGGATCCTAGGCTGTGCAAAGACTTGAAGCATCGCAAACACACTGGCTTTGACAAGAACTTCCATTGTGTTCGGGAGCCAGCCTCTTGGTCGCTGGTTTGCACAATCTCTTGGATACGTTGGAATGCCTGGGAAGTGGGGACCGGGCTCAAGTTAGATTAGTTCCGAACAAATATCTCAAAGTAGCGCTCAAGAAACCGTCTGAAAAACCATTGACTTGACGCATAGTACAAGCTACAACTTCGTCCTGATCGGTTTTGTGAAGTTCGTTCCACTCCTTTCTAAACTGAATCAGCTCCTGTTGGGAAGCTTTCCCTCGAAACTGTTCCCTGCAATTGCCCTTGCATTTGGAAGCCTTGGAGAGCATGGACTGAATTGCAACCACATCGTCAACAGGCGGCTTTTTGCGCAACGGCCTTGATTTGTTTCGCGCGCGTTTTCTCCCGGCACTTGGAGGCGGGACAGCTTCTTCTGAAGAGCTCTCGGTCAATGTGGTGACCGGTGGAACAAAACATGCCTCGTCACCCATGAGCAGCTTGTAAGCTGTGCTAGTTCTATATACCAAGTGAACGGTGTAAGAGGCTTCAGATCCTATGGGTTCAAACATGTTCAAACAGTGCGATGACAGTTGCGATGACATCTCAAGTGAATCTCGATTCCTACCCGCACACAAAAACAATGCTTGTGCTTATCTACCCATCTCAAACAAACATTGCTTCGCGCGACACAAATAACTTGGAAGCAAGCGAATCAATGAGGAAACCTTGTCCAGAACAAAATGCAATCAAAAACACATCAAAACAACAACCGCATAGACCTTTGATTTTCCGGCCAACCTTGCACTCAGTGTGGATTCACGCGCGCCGCAAAAATGGTTGCTTGCCAACCACTTACTGTCACAGGCACACGCATTCACACAATCAATGCTCTCAATTTGCAAAGCTGCGAAACAGCCTGAATTGGATCTAATTGGTGTTTTGGCTCCGTTTCTATCATTGAGCTGGCGGTGGAAAAAGGCAACTACTATTCACAGTCAAAAGCACATCAAACCATTGGAAAAAAATTGTGTCAAGAATCTCCTAAGGCTGAGGAGCCAAAATCATCTGGTGCAAAATGTGTCCAGCCAATTGCGCACACGGTGGTACGACAACGTTGCCGAGGATTCTCAAACGCTCTTCATCGTCATCAGTTGGCTTCGTGTTCGTAAGCCAACAGTGCATAGGGATAGCGTTCAGAGGATTGAACGGTTCCTGGTAGAAGCTGTTCAATGGCAACAACGGCAAGTCCTTCCAGTCTACCACAGCTGGGCCACACAACGGCTCAAATGACTAACGAAGCTAAATTTGGGCAAGAATAGCTCCTGGAAAATCTGGCGTCCATTGCGAATCGCAAATTGAAGAACACCCTCTTCCTCTGCGCCTGCCCAGCAAGCGCGTTCAAATAGCGTTTGAACCCTCTTCAATGATCCTAGTCACTAGTCGCTAGCAATGGCACACCACAGATTCCTACAAACTCCCCCTCTGCTTTCAGCTTAGCGACTGGCAGCCCCACATTCTCCAACGACACGCTGCACCAGCTCAGCTTCAAGTTGCGTTCCAAACAGGCCTGCTCAAATCACCAGAGCATCAGCAACCGCAAAGAACATAAGAGTATGAGAACAATTTCTACCTGCAATGAGCATGTCAAATGTGGCACCTTGATCAAAAAGTGCATAACCCTCTTCATGTCATGTTGCTTGGACAGAATGCTCTTCACATTCTCGAGGTACAGAAACTTCCTGCCGTTGCAATCTACAGGCAACTCCAAATACTTGAGATGCTTGAAACGTTCCCAACCAAGCTTGACATCTTGCCTCTGTCGGGGAGGCAATGCGTCGAACACATCAAAGACTTTTCGTAATAGCCCACTTCTTGGGTCGTGAAGGCCACGCTGCTGACCACCGCATGAAATACCCTCACAACGAACGCACTATTGAAATTATCGCTTTAGAAACAAGGAAACCATTGTTTACCTACAGCTGGTCAGCGCGCCTGGCACGGGAACCCACCTCCCGCTCCACAAGCTTCTGTGGTCTTGGGAACCTGAAACGTATTGATGTCATCATGGACATCAGCAGCGTGTAAAAAGCCATCTTGGATCCTCTTCTCCAAGAGTTTCCGGCAATATTCATTGATCTCCACCTGAGATTGAAGGTGCGCGAATCAAAGCAAATATGTGTGACCAAAAAACCTGACTGCATGAGATTGGGCCAGCGACATAGTCCGTAGCCCACAGGTAACTTGGCGAACGATGGGATGAACACTTTCTGAATCCGAGAAAATGGAACCCTTGACAGCGAAGAGCTCACATGAAGCGAGGCATGGACAACTTGGACAATGAAGGGAATATTTTCTGCACACTGTTAGCTGTTTGTGAGACTGCTAAGTGCGCCCGTGCCCAAACTGCTCAAACACCACCGGGCCAGGAAAGTCTTTTCTGCAATCCTGCAAAGCAACAAAATGAATACAGCGTCCCACAGATCGAAATCAAACTGGGGAAAGCACCACCGGCAGTTCGCACCAATCTTTGATTTGCCAACACCAGAACCACCTCGGGCATGAATGCGGCTTGAATAAAACTCTCAAATTGAAAGACCTGAGCTGCCTGCTCTTTCCCGTGCCATTTTGTCGTTACATTGGAACCGACCTGGATCCTGGGCTCACCAATTTTGTTGTCCGCAGGGCTAGGGCAATACAACACTAACTGGTCAATGTCTGGAGGGCAACAACTAATTATGCCCAAGTCTCCGAACTTGGTTGATGCCAACCGTTCTCACCACTCCTACACGCTTCTGGGCACGATCTTCCGGCGCCGCTGCCACTGGAGGCTGCACTTCGACACAGCGGCGCTTGGCAGGCACCCCCGTTTCCATCAAACCGGCAAACGACAGTGATGAGCTATATATATATAATATATAAACTTTAAATTCAATTTAAATAGAACATGGATTGCTAAAATTGCTATGATGGTCTTGAACTTGAATAGCTAAACCCTTGATCGACTCTTCTCAGCCCAAGCAATGTGCGATAATGCGTGAAGGAAACCGTGAACTCTCTGGCAACTATGCTGAGCACATGGTGTCTGAGAATTTGCTGCCAAGCAAACCTTGTAAAAAGTTTACTCTATGAGATCCAGACCGAGACAGGCCCAACTCCAATGCACCGCAGCCACTGAAAAGGCTGATGCTCGGCATCTTGCCGTCCTGCAGTGATGGGATCCCCGAAAACTGTTCAATCCGAACTTTCGACACTGTCCTTCGAGCAAGCGTGAGGAAACATTTTCTTGAAGGTGTTTGGCGAGACCTTCCCCTTCAAGTCGGTCCAATTGGTGGGGAGACCGCTGAACCACTCCGCCGCCGGCAAAGAAAGGAAAGTCCCCATTGGAACTTTGGCATCCCTGCAAGCTTTATCATAAGCTTCGCTGTACCGGATTTGGTTGGCCAAGTCCTGAAAAACACAATCCAGCAATTCACTGTTTACCAAAAAACAATTCCTTTCAATGGAGCTCTTTCTGGGGCATTGGCTGCTATTCCACGGTTGCTGGGATTCGCAGAAACCCTGACTGTAGCGGAAAAGCATCCTCAAGGTACAACACTGCGAGCTTGACAACAAAAGTGAAGAGCAATGATGGACTGAACAGTTTCATCTCTCGCTAAGTTGTCTACTAATTGAGCTCCAGCTCCGAAAGATGCGTGCCCCGGAAAACAGACCTGACTTCAACTTCGCCTGGCGCTTCGTGGCTGTGGTAGTCTGAGACTTTTGCACCTGAGAGCAGCCATTGCCGGGGCAAACCAACTTGCACGAAACATGATAACAACTGAAAATGATAGAATTGTAAATTCCACTGTGGATCCTGAGACTCGAACGACCTTTAGGCTCAGCTTCGCAGACTTCGACAAGCTCACCCGACAGGGTGTCATCACTGCTCCAGTCCGTGAGACATTCAACACTTTGGCAACGTGATTTGGAAAAGCGTTTGAAGTGGCAAGCTTCCAACGGAAGTCAGGCATGCGCTGGAAATTAGGTTTCACCTTCAACTGTCGTTTCTTGACACCTCGAACTCTTGCAGTAGAAACCTGCGCGTCGCTTCGCAACACACGCGATGATAGTGACCACGGCACAGTCATCACAGGGCCTCCTTCGAAGGCAATGGCATAACTTCCGACCTTGGCGATTGAAAAGCAACCACATTCCATACGCCTTCAACGTGACTGCGACTCCACAACCGAGAACAAGACTCACTGCATGAGAGATCGTCCACAACGTCACGCACAGGCATTGCAACGCCAGCCCCACAAGACCTACTACCTTTGGACCAAAAAGACTGCCTGTCAACCTCAACGCTGTTTGGCCGCAAACTGAATGAAATGCAAGAGAAATCACTGCGAAAGGAACTGGCTGGGGTCACGCTTCGCTGGAGATGCAGGGCCTTGCGAGGGTGTCGAGAAATCTGTCACAAGGCAAAAAGAGAAACTAGAATAGAACCTGTGCACATGGACGCACATACCAAAGAAGCGCATTCATTCAAAAGGGATCTGAGAACGAAACCGCTCAAGCCCAAATCAGCCCGCTTGAGTCCTCGTGCTGACGAAGAACGCCTCAATGAAGATGCCAAGAACCAGGGCCTGAAAGCGTGCGTCTAAACACCATCTCTGCAAACATGGGCCTGTGGCGTGGCGACGCCTTCAACCACCTTTAGAATGAAGGAAATCGAGTCAAGGACAATTCTCAAACAGAGCGCCTGAGCCAGGCCAGCTGCCAGGACGTGGAAAGGCTGGCCACAACAAAAGACCTGAGGCCAAAATGTTCTTTTCGTAGCCACACGGAACTTCAAGTTGAGATTCCCACCGGTTATATGCACAA